CGCCCCGCCCCGCCCCGGCCTGGCACGAATACAGCACCAGCCTCCACTCATTAGGCAAAAGTACTCGGCCAGGTGACGTCCCCGACGGCGGCGTGTCCCCCCCGGACCGGCGGCGACACCGCGCCTGTCCTGTCGCCGCCACCGGCCGCTGTCCAAATAAGTCGCCGTAACTACGGGAGAGTTGCGTTGGTCTCGAGCACAGGGAAGAAGCGGCAAAGTTGTTGATGTTGTCGGGATGTTTGAACAGGGATACGAGTGGCTTCGTTCCAATGGGCGGATAGGGTATTGCATAAAACTAGTCGACAAAATATATTTTTCACGGAGATTGCTGCAAAATATGCGTATTCAGTAAATGGTGCAAACAGTATTAGTGTTAATCCTACCAGAAACCCATTAGACTACTTGACCGACTACTGAGTGCTATGTAGTTCTGGTTGACTGTTGCCTGTATGTGTGAGGACGGACTACTGTACGGTATACATGGTAGTTGGACTGTTGTAATTCCAGTGAGTATCTGTGGTGACGGATCTGGCAGGCTGACATGTTTTCAATCTTAGGTGGACAGAACATATGTAATGTATAACCACCGTGCCATAATTTTGATTGTATCAAAGTAGGCCCACAACACAAAACGTTGAAACATTATAACGATGAAAAAATATGTCCCAGGGCACATCTTGGGAACTTACTTCCTTTAAAATCTTACCTCTATTTATCGGTGGTCAAACGTTGATGCCATTCCCATTGAGGCCAGCAACCCTGTGCTCCCCTGGGGCTGACACCAAGTTGAGGATGACGACGAGCTGAGCATCTAACCTCATCGTACGGGCGCATGCCAGACATTCCTTTCGCGACGAACAGCACCAGGGCCCGCGACTGATCCGGAGCGAGAATCTCTGTTACGTAACTATTTCATCACCACTCGAGCTTTCTGCCATAACTTAAACGAAATACTTGAGCTGAACCAAAATCAAAGCCGACACACGCGCAGGGCGCCCATTGACCTCCGACAACAAATCGTTTTTGTTTCATTCATCTCATTCGACAGCGTCGTCTGCTGCTAAGATTTCGCGCTCCCAGTACTGCCAACGACAGAATGACACTACCTTATTTAACAAACACCGCACCGCGATACAAACTTCGTATTTTTTGTATTTTATTCTTTTGTAATTTCGAAACAGTGCGCAAAAATGACGGGTGATCTTTCTTTCAAAAACATCTCGACAGCGCCCGCTGTGTTGAGATCGTTGGGATGGGCGTAGCCGGACAGGGAGTTCGAACGGTCTCGACCGCTCCGCTCGCCAGGCTAGCACAGGGCGGAACTCTGCTGGCGGCTCTAGCACAGGCCATGACGCACACGTTCCCTTCCATACTCTTCGAATGAATTATTGTGGACCGGCGGAGCACGCCGCTGACGCCACTGATTGCCATGCGAGGCGTGGGCAGGGGCAGGTGGCAGGTCCAGTCGGGGG